GGCGGTAGTTGAAGTGGCCGAACAACGGAATCTAAGAGTATAAGTGGCGAGGCGAGGCGAGGCGACTCCTAGTTCGCCCGCGAGGGCGGCCGCGCGCGGGGCTGGGAGTGGGCGCCGGGGCGCCGCTCATTCAGTCGAGGGTAGACATGTTTCTGCTTGTACGGTGCACATACCCATCCTCCAATTCTGAGCACAAGTCGTTGTCCGACGCAATTTTCTGCCAGTACTCCCCACGTGTAGTGCGAATAACTCGGCCAGAAAAACAGGAACAATCTCTAAGAGTATAATCGGGGGCGCGCAAACATGGAAAAGCGATCCATGGATTTGGCACGTGGTCGCCAAATCCATGGATCCGGGGAAGTGCCCTCCCCAACATGCGGCCGCTGCCGCCTCGCTCGGCAGCGGAAATCCGCGATTTCCAATGGAATTGGGACCCGTCGCTAATCCGACGACGGCGACGACGATGACGTCATCGTCATCGTCATCGCCCCCTTGATCCATGTTTGCGATCACATGATATTAGTGAGAACAAGGATGTCAGAAGTAGATGGGTAAACAGGATTTGATGGGTCTGTCTTCCACCACCACCACCACCATAAGTTGGAGGGGGAGAAGGAGGAGGAGAAGGAGGAGGAAGAGGAGGAGGAGGAGGAGGAGGAGGACGAGGACGACGAGGGGAACGAGGAGGAGGAGGAGGAGAAGGAGGAGGACGACGAGGGGAACGAGGAGGAGGAGGAGGAGGAGGAGGAGGACGAGGGGAAGAGGAGGAGGAGGAGGGAGGAGGAGGGAGGGGAGGAGGAGAGAGGTAGAAGGAGGAGGAGGGGAGGAGGAGGAGGACGAGGAGGAGGAGGAGCGAGGAGGAGGAGGAGGAGGAGGAGGAGGTAGGAGGAGGAGAGGAGGAGGAGAGGAGGAGGAGGAGGAGGAGGAGGAGGAGGAGGACCCCATCCCCCCCTCCAACTTAATTACAGTGGTGGTGGTGGAAAACAGGCCCATCAGGATTGTGTTTTCGTTCGCGGCTGGCCCTCTGTGGGCGTGCGCGCCTGGCCGCGGCTTTCTGGGCCCGCGGCTCTCCTCCTCCTCCTCATCATCATCCTCCTTCTCCTCCCCCTCCTCCTCCTCCTCCTCCCTCTCCTCCTCCTCCTCCTCCTCCTCCCCCTCCTCCTCCTCCTCCTCCTCCTCCTTCCTCCTCCCCCTCCTCCTTCTCCTCCTCCTCCTCCTCCTCCTCCTCCTCTCCCGTGCGGCCCCCCTTGGTGGTCACTCGCGCGGCCCAGGGAACCCTCCCGTGGTCCACCTCGCGGCTCTTCCTGGCGGCGGGCTCCATGCACCTCGTGCCGGGCACCCGGACGACGCGCTGCGCTCCGAGGACCTGCCACTACTCTAGAGAGTAACAGAGAAGCACATGAATATAAACATTTGGAGGTCCGCGCGGACTCCTTGGATCCGCGCTGGACCCCCCTCCCCGGCGCGCGGAGCGCACCAAGGGCGGCGCCGGAGGCGCCGCTGGGGAGGGCCCCGCGCAGAACCAAGAGATCCGCGCGGAGCGCCACAAGTTTATATGTTTATGCCACTGTCTCTTCTCCGATGCTCGGGCGCCCACGCCCCGTGTCTTTGGTCTGGCTTTGTGCGTGTTTTGTTGGTCCTCGAGATGGTCCAAGAGGCTCCAGGATGGCAAAAGCGTGTTCACGTCCGAGCGTTGGGCGTCGATTACTGGGGGGCGATAACTGTGTGGGGGGGGGGGAGAAAGGTCTGCTTTTCGGGCCCCCAGGGCCCCCTTTTGGGCCTCAAGGGGCCCCGTTAGGCTTAAGTCGGGCCTGTCCTCCTACAGAAGGATTTTGGAGGAAACATAAAACACACCCCCAAAAATGCACCCAAATGGTCAAAAATAGTCAAAGAATAGTCCCCCGACCATTTTTTGACGATTTTTGAACATTCCCCCTGTAGAGGGCCAGGCCCGACGTAACGTCAGGCTCCAGGGGCCCGGAAGGGCCCCCTTTTGCTGCCGCCCTCGCACCCCCCCCCCCCCGTTCATCGCCGCCCTCTTGCGCGCGACTCGGGCGGGACTTAATGGGGGGGTCATAAGAGGGGGGGTCAGAAAAGGCCCTTTCGTGCCCCTCCAGAGCCCCAGGGGGCTCGTTTAGGTACCGTTTGGGTACCTTTTCGAACCACCCTCGCCACCCCCCCCATTTATGACCCCCCCATTACGCGGCGCCCAAGCGACGCCCCACCAGCAGGGAGGACGGCCCGGGGCGGCTCCCTGCCTTGATCGCCATCAGGCGATGGTACACCTGCGGCTGCCTCGGCGCGGCGCGCGGGGGGGGGGGGGGGACAGGGGGATCTTCGACGAAGAATGCCAACAGACGCAAAAAGTGCTCCCAGATGGTCCAAAGACGCTCAAGACATAGTTCCCTGACTATTGTTTGACGATTTTTTAACACTGTTCCCCCTGGGGGGAGGGGCGCCAGGGGCCCGAGCGGGAAGCCCCTGGGCAGCGGGCAGGAGCCGCTGCGGCGGCGGCGCGAGGAGGGGCCCCGCCGCGGGACACCGAGGGGCTCGCGGGAGCTGGGCGGCGACCCCTGTAGGGAGCAAGGAAAGGCGACACCAACACCAACAGGGCGAGGAGATGCGTGGAGGCAAGGGGGGGTCTCCCTGGTGGTGTGGTCCCCCCCTCTCGCTCGAGGCATCCCCAGTCTCCCGCTCGGGGAAGCATTGTGGACCTCCTCGCTGGAGGTGGGCCCCCTGGTGGTGTTGGTGTCGCTTCTCCTCCCTCCGACCTCTGGGAGGCCTTCGTCAGCAGGGTCAGGGGGCACTGCGCCCCGATTCAGGGGCCACGGAGCGGGACTCGGTCGGGCCGCGCCCGGGCTCAGGCTGGGCTCGGGGAGACTCCGCGGGATGGAGCCGGATTGCGCGGGAGCGCAACGGGGTTCAGCCATGTGAACCGGCCTGCGACCAGGGATGTGCCAGCGCCGATTCTGAACTCAACCTCCCGGGAGTTGCACACCCTGCTCTGAAGACGACCTCTGAGCTTCCTGAGTGCATAAGGTGCCCCAAGACTGCTGCGGGCACCCCTGGCCATCGGATGGTAGACAAATCTGGGGGGGGGGATCTGCTAGGCAGAGGAGGTCGGGTGAAGGAGGAGAAACGAGAGACGGGCACAAAGGGAGAGGGGGGAAGCAGAGTGAGGGAGGGGAGGGAGCGATCACAGTAGACATCGACTTTCGGAGACCTGCGCGGACTTTTCGTGTCGGGGCTCCGAAAGTCAATGCTTACGCAAAAGTTCTGCTCATCGAGAAGATCAAGGGAGGAGGAAAGAGGACGAAAGAGGTAGAGAGAGAGAGAGAAAGAGACAGATGGCAAACGAGAGAGACACAGAGGGAGACAGAGGCAGAAAGAGAGAGAGAGAGAGAGAGAGAGAAAGACTGCGGAAGAAGGAGGAACATTGAAAGGGCAACGCGACACATGCTGGAGGGGGGAGAGAGGGGCCTGAGTCGGGGGCAGGCAGAGGGAGGTGAAAGACAAGGAGGGGGAAATTAATTGATAATAGATAAACAAGATGCTGGGAGGCGAGGGCGGGAGCAGGGGGCGTCGCACCAGAAGAGAAGGTTGGATGAGGAAGAGGATGATGCAGCGGTCAAACACCGCGATTGTACGCAGCGTGCAGCTGTACTCTGCCGCCGGGTCCGGCTAGGGCTATCCTGGCCCCAAAAGGAAGACCTGCAAGTTTTTGTACAATCAGCTTGCTTCGGGGAGCGAAGAATAACATACACATACAAACTCTGATGTCCGCGCGGATGTCTCGGATCTGCGCTGGACCCCCCTGGCGGCGCCTCCCGCGCCGCCCCTGGCGCGCCTCCCGCGCGCCAGGGAGGGGTCCAGCAGGGATCCAGGAAGTCCCCGCGGACCTCCGAGATGTTATGCTTCTGCCATTCCTCGTCCCCCTCTTGTCGGGAGCGGCCAAGAGGGGGGTGTCCAAGAGGGGGGGGTGCAAATCATGACCGGCGGCATGTGCGCGGCCCAGCGGGGGGGCCAGGGACGTAATGAAATCAGAAGAGGCGCCATGAAATCTGGGGAAATATCATGGCCCCCGCCATGATATCCCCCCCCCCCTAGTCATCACCCCCCTCCTTTCCGCCCCCGATCTTGTCCGGGCACGGCCAACGCGCCGGTGCCCAGCTCGGTACCCGTAGCCTACCACGCACAGTCTGCAGAGAGGGGACCTCCTCCCTCCTCCTCCCTCCTCCTCCTACCTCCTCCTCTCTCCTCCGCCCTCCTCCTCCCTCCTCCCTCCTCCTCCCTACCTCCTCCCTCCCTCCTCCTCCTCCTCCTCCCTCTCCTCCTCCTCCTCCTCCTCCTCCTCTCCTCCTCCTCCTCCTCCTCTCTCCTCTCTCCTCCTCCTTCCTCCTCCTCCCTCCTCCTCCTCCTCCTCCTCCCTCCTCCCTCCCTCCCCCCTCCCTCCCTCCCTCCCTCCTCCCTCCCTCCCTCCCTCCCTCCCCTCCCTCCCTCCCTCCCCTCCCTCCCTCCCTCCCCTCCTCCTCCTCCTCCTCCTCCTCCCTCCTCCCTCCTCCCTCCTCCTCCTCCCTCCTCCTCCTCCCTCCTCCCTCCTCCTCCTTCCTCCTCCTCCTCCTCCTCCTCCCTCCTCCCTCCCCATCATTCTTCTACTGTGCACCACCGCCGTGTCTGGCCAGGGCGAAGCCTCGGCCCATGGGAGGAGGGCCTCTGCGGGCTTCGTGGCCACGCGGCCACGGAGAGGCTCTACCCCGACCTGGACGCCCACGGGAGCGTCCCGAGAGCCGGGGCCCGTGCCCAGAGGTGCAACGCATGGAAAAGATCAGGACGAAGGCCTTTCGCAGTTCTCAGCCTCCTCAGTTTTCAGCCTCCTCCTCCTCCTCGTCCTCCTCCTCCTCCTCCCCCTCCTCCCCCTCCTCCTCCTCCTCCTCCTCTTCCTCCTCCCCCTCCTCCTCCTCCTCCTCCTCCTCCTCCTCCTCCTCCTCTGGCGTCTGCTTTCAGGCGTGGACCCACGCCATCACCGCGTCGCTCGCGCCGCACCAGAAGTCGTAGGTGTGCTTGTGCTTGGCGCATGCCTCGAGCTTGTTGACGTCACTCCTAGCGGAACAAATAATAGCACGTCGATCCTTGTTGACGGAGGTCCACGCGGATTTCTCGGATCGGCGCTGGACCCACCTCCCTGGCGCGCGGAGCGCGCCAGGGGCGCCGCCGGAGGCGCCGCCAGGAGAGCCCCCAGCGCCGATCCAAAAACTTCCTGGGAGCTCCGGCAGTCTGTGCCTGCGCAGTTTTGTCCGCTCCGTCCTCGAGCTCCTCTGCTTCACCTTCTTCCACGCCCCCTGCTCGAAGGACCCGCCCTCGCAGCCGGAGGGCAGGAAGACATAGCAGCCCGCCACCCGAGGCGGCGCCACCAGCACCGAGGCGAGGGCTCGCCCCTCCCTGCCGCCCACGGCGCCGGCAACGACCTGCCACCTCTGGGGGCTGCCCAACACGGTCCCGGCTCGGGGTGCCCCCAGCTTCTCGCGCCATCCTTAGAGACCCACCAGAGGATATATCTGAAGGGGCCCTGGGACACACACATAAATACACACAAATAACAGGATCCCCAATACTTTCGGGGTTTTTGCCTTCCCTCCACTTCCCATAGTTTCCCATATTTTCTTGGGGATCGACGATTCATTGTGTCTGTGTGTTTTTTCCCCCTCCTGAATATCAGCCACGCATGGCCGCGAGTGGGAACAAACAGAAATCCTTAGAACCCAAGCGATGGCACAACACTTGAGCAGGGACCGACCGTCCCGGCATTCCTATAGTCCTACCACGAAATATTCTTAGAACCCACAAATGTTCTAAGAACAAAAACCAGGTTCTCAGAACACAAGCCCGATGTGCTAAAACGAGACAGCCCCAGCCAGAAATGTTCTGAGAACATGTCGTGCCTACCACAGAAAGTTCTTAGAACACTGCTTGGTGGGGCTATGGGCGAGCCGGGACGCTCCGCCACTGCTTGAAACACACACAACAGCTCGGAGGCCCTCGCAGACTCCTGGGATCCGCGCTGGACCCTCTCAAACAGGGCTAAGATCACGATAAATCGCTCCAGAGCGTTCCGGAGCGCTCTCAGAGCGTTCCGGAACGCTCTGGAGCGGCCGCGGCGCCCAATACATCCTCTAAACCCGCCGATTCTCAGAGATTTCGAGTAATCCCGATCCGATTTTGTCCCGATCTTCGCGTCGTTTTGCGGAGGCCCTCGCAGACTCCTGGGATCGGCGCTGGACCCTCCCCCGGCGGCGCCTCCGACGCCGCCCCCGCCCCTCGCGCCAGGGAGGGGGGGGCCCCGCGCCAGCCCGGGAGGCCCGCGCGGACCTCCGAGCTGCTCTGTGTTTCTGTCGTCGCTTCGGGTTGGGCCCGTCCCTCTGCAAGAGGAATACTCAAACATAGCCAAACAAAAATAGTCTGGGGACTATTCTCTGAGTACTTTTGACCATTTTGGAATAGTTCTTTTTTTCCTTTTTTAATAAAAATAAATAATATTTTAGTTTTCGTCGACAATCCCCCTGTAGGGGGACACGCCCGACTGAATCGTCGCTCCGTCCTCTGGGGCCCAGGAGCCCCCGGCGGCCCCGCGGGCCCCGCGGGACCGGGGCGCCCCGCGGAGGCCGCCCAGGCCTCCCCTGGAACTCCTGGGGGGGCGCCTCGGGCCGAGGAGGGCACCTTGGGCGACGCCCGGCGCGCCGCCTCGTCGC